AGCCCTATTAGGGAGAACAAAGAGTGTTAAACAATGCCGGATCGAATGTACCGAACATATTTCGCGGGTTAACTCAGTGAACGTTACGCTTGCGTTAATTGCCGGGATACGTTCAACCCTCCGACGTGTGGTACTTTAGTCCCCTAGGATCGGAACTTATTTGTTTTGCTGATTAGAAAAACTCAAAGGATTCGCCTTGAGTTAATTAGATTTTACATAACCACTTCTAATGGTAGTTCAATTATTTTCGATTAGCACCATCTTTTTTTATGATTGAAGGATTACTGGTGACCCGGAGGCCTTTCCAGTTTCACCAGGACAGGTGGGCGAGCAAAGGCTCAGCCAGGAGGGGTGGGATTTGCTAACAGCTGCCCTAGCGCCTTCGAAGGAGACGTAACAATTCAAGAGCAACTGCTTCGCGAATGAATCTACTACCGGATCGGAATCGCAACCCGCTGAGAAGATCCGGCGAGAAATTCAGCGGGCTGATGCATGGGCTAGGTTGCACGTCGACCTCTTTGTCGAGTAGCGCCATCTCTGTTTTGTGGAACTGATCGAAATTATTTTCGAACGACTAGAAGACTTTGTATTTTTGAGTTTTTCTCGGTGAATCGCAATTCCAATCCGGTGGTAGATTCTGCGATGCACTGCCCTTGCTCGGGCTAGTGTTAGCAAATTCTCTCAGGTTGAGCTTGTGAGCTCACCTATCCTTCCGCTTGTGACATTTAGTTGTTTGGTGTATGGATTATTCGGAACCAATTGCCTAATTGGCAAAACTACAAATTAGTAAAGACACTGAATGGATATGCTGAAAAATCCAAACGTCCAAATTCAAAGATTGATGTCTTCTTTGGTCCGGTAGTATTTCATTCATGAGAAAGGGAAAGGAGAGAATATAATTCATTGCACATCAAAACATAATTAACATTCAAAACGTTGACAGGTAGGTATCTATATATTAATACGTGAAGCAAAAACTTTGTATCCCTTTTTACGAAAATTGCGCGGACCGAGGAGTATGAAATTTTCCACACTTATAGAGAATACAGAGAGGAAGTGCACAATGGTAATATTTTTTTTAAATAATGCATAAAAGATACATTAAATCAATAAAGAAAACATTACACACACTACAGACCATGTATTTGACGCACACACGTATGCATACTATTTATTGTCAAACTTTTGTTCTTGACGTCTGTTGTCAAATTGAGAATAGATTAAATATTGTTTGTCTTTGTTAATATTTTTTATAGTGTAGTCTTGACGAAATTTGTGATTATAGAAGTATAAAATATAATCATAATAGTGTACAAACTTACAATTCCAATTAATTATAGTCGAATTTCGACTACTGCGGGACCTCTAGTAATTGTAAAATAGGCGATCTTATACCCAAAAGCGATCTCTAATAATACAGGTAAACTAGTAGGTATATATTATTATATAATAGCAGTACTTTTATATTTTTTTTACCTTACAAATGTTTTGGTTTATACTGTTAATTTGTAAGTAGACTAAGTAAATAAATAAATAAATAAATAAATAAATACTCGCCCGCTTCGTTGCGCATTTAAAATTAACATTATTATTTATTGTCATATTTAGGGAGTTCAACACTCATATAAATATTAGCCTATCCATTAAGTACATGTATTTTCTACATGGATACCAAGTTTCAAGTCAATCGGATGCATGGTTCAGTAGTTATAACGGAACATCCGTAAAACCACAGTAGATTTATATATTAGTATAGATAATCAAAAGTCATATTGATTTTCAAGAAGATATTAAAGAAATCTATAATAAAATCAAAAAATTATAAATTATAAATATATAAATCGCAGATGTCTCAATTGGTAGTTATTATAAAAACGTGTTTTTGCACCACACAATAAACAAGGAGTTTTTCAAAACGATTCTCAAACAAAAGTCGCTAAGATTTACGCAAATCAAAAAAGGGTTCCGACCACCGCAGGGGTGCTATGAAATGAGAAGTAGGGAAACATTGCCTTGTAGGTACTCCACCTACTAAATATACCTATATTCTAAAAGTAGTTGTAATTGTGTTTACAATTTGCGAAAATCGAAAATCTTTCCATGTCTCGTACCTATAATAATTAATCTTATACAGCCGATCGTTTTATTGCATTGGCTTAGACCAATAGAGCCATACAGGTTATATTTTACACTCGACCCGCCCTCGCTTCGCTTCGGAAACATTAAAATAATGAATGATAGCTGAGTCCCGCGATGCTACCCGCGATGCTACCCGCGGGTATTGTCGTACCGCGGGTGACGCCGCGGGGCGAAGCTAGTCTAAAAAAAGTAAATTATGTTTAAACGTATACCTAACGAACTAAGCTAACGAAATACAGATTTTTCTTATTCGACCGCGACGGGGCAACGCAAAGCCGCCGTCGCCTGAGAGATGTCATGACGGATCCCCTGGATCCACTCTCGGTGCTTTTAAGTCTCTCAAGCACTGGTCGCTGTCCTCGTCGAACTCGTCGATTACGGCGAAGAGTTAGACGAGCCAACTAACCCATAAACACAGCCTACTGAGTTTCTCGCCGGATCTTCTCAGTGGGTCGCGTTTCCGATCTGGTGGTAGATTCTGCGAGGTACGGCTCTTGCTAGGGTTCGTGTTAGCAAAATCATCGGGTTGAGCCCCGTGAGCTCAATTACTAGCTCGGTGACGCTCAGTCTCTCTAGACCATTAGCTTAGGTAGGGAAAAAAAAGAGGTGAAATCACGATCGTAATGTCGTCGGAGCTCGGCTAACTTCATGCTACGACAGAACCTAGCCGATGGAGGCGCGCATAGACGCCATTTTACATTTTACACCAGCCTTCTTGGAGAGCGGTACCTCCGTGCTAAGAACTGTCATTAGTTTTCGTTTGCTAACGCCAAGAGAAGATTTCTAAATTGTTCTAAGACAACAAACGTGTTTTGTGTACCTACTCAATATTTCTCTTAACTCAATCACCCTATTTGACCCTATTACGATGATCTTTATAATGCGATTTCTCCAACATATTTTTTTTTTTTCACAGCCCCAGTTAACCTGGATCATGATGATTATGGTTTGAAAATTCAGTATGTAATCTAAATGTAGACGGGCAGACGAAGTGACCGGTAGTAAAGCTATAGACATCTAAACGAAAGTGCCGCTCAGAGTTTCGAGTTTGTCCATAGTTGCAGACAAACAAACAACTGTACCGCTCTATATTCTAATTCCGAAGACAAGAATTTTCATAGTGATAATAGATACTTAATTTGTTTACAAGCCAACTCCAAATTCATTATTAATAATAAAAATCTTTATTTCAGTAAAACACATACATTTTGATAGTATTTCTTATAATCTGTGTTAGTAACTTAAAACATTACACATTAATTTTCTGACTGTACATTGAGTACATTTGAGTTTTCCATAACTGCCTGCTGCAGACTATTTTTTTTATTGCTTAGATGGGTGGAGGAGCTCACAGCCCACCTGGTGTTAAGTGGTTACTGGAGCCCATAGACATCTATTAGACATCTATTAGACTATTGACTAGCAGTCCCTCAATCGATGTAATTATTAAATTTTTAATTAAATTAATCAATTAAAACCATTCCGCCTCGTTTTTCTTAGGCTATAGTCGTGAAACAAGACCAAAGCAACTTAATTTTAGTTTCAATATTAATTACCAAAGTAAAACTAAAATATTTATACACTGGTGGTAGGACCTCTTGTGAGTCCGCGCGGGTAGGTACCACCATCCTACCTATTTCTGCCGTGGAGCAGTAATGCGTTTCGGTTTGAAGGGTGGGGCAGCCGCTGTAACTATACTTGAGACCTTAGAACTTTTCAAGGTGGATGACTCATTTACGTCGTAGATGTCTATGGGCTCCAGTAACCACTAACACCAGGTAGGCTAAGAGCTTGTTCACCCATCTAAGCTATTAAAAAAAAACACTAAAATAGTGTGTAGCTTAAACAGTATAACAGAGCGTCAATGTTTAAAAAAAAAAAACAAAAAAAACGTTCCGAATTCATAACCAGTTTTCGCGCGTTTCCGACATACGACTCCGCAGCGCCATCCAATTTGTTTAAAACGACGCGGAACGTCGCTTTGTTCGTCGAAACCGCGACTGTGGGCGTGATGGCACACCCACGCGACGCGACGCGGCCCAACAATACCGCACGAACTCCCCGTAATTGACGCGGCGGGGGTTCGTTAATTCAGAAAACATTCAAAGACGCAGGAGCCGCTCGCGAAAGCTCAATGATTGTTTTGCGGTCGTAATACCGTTTTGTACAAACAAATAATCAGTAAAACGCTAAAAATCGAAACGCTTGGAACTATTAATGGAATGGTAGTAGTAGTAGTTTTATTTTTCCAAATGGAAAGACAAAGGTACCATACCATACAGCCTAATCTTTTATATATTATTTTTATTTTATGAAATTGATACTATAAAATGAAATGAAGTTGATTAATATATGAAACATGGTATGAAATGATATGAGATGAGATGATATAATATGGGATATTTTTATGGAAAATGATAATAATATGAAGTGAAATGAAAATTAAATGAAGATGATTAATTTGAGACATCAATCAACTGGGATGAAATTAAATGAAATGAGATGAGATGATATGGGATGAAATATAATATCAGTGAAATGGTGGTTATTTACTGAGATTTTTTCAGTGAACTTTTTCAAGGATCCCGAGAAGTTACGTCCAGCGGCTTTGTTCCATTTTCCCACATTTGTGCACTGTCACAGATATGTTAATTTGCTCTTGAGTTGCTAGGTCTCCTTCGAAGGCGCTTGGGCAGTTGTTAGCAAATCCCACCCCTCCTGGCTGAGCCTGTGCTCGCCCACCTGTCCCTGTGAAACTGGAAAGTCCTTCGGGCCACGAGTAATCTTTCAATCATAAAAAAAAAACAAAAAATAATAATTAATGTATGGATTGTTTTGTTCACAGGTAAACAATCGACAAAATGCAGCCGTTCCAGTCAAACGCCCGACCGGAGGGCCCGAGGGAGTCGTCGCCAGAACGAGCCAAATCACCGGACACTCCGACAGCTCCTCCTGTACTTAACTTCTCAATAGCGAGGCTGATGGAGCCGGACAGAAAGAAATCCGTTTCGCCGGAACCAACGCCCCCTTCAAATTTCCTCTCGTATGGCGCACATTTACTGGACTCCGCTTTCAAACAGTACATACCAGCTGCGAGAAGACAGCTCGTTTCGCACTATCCACTCTTGTACTACAGTCCGGACCTGCTATCCTTGACCTACGCGCCACAATTGCATCTCTCGCGACCTCCGCCCGCCCCGTCTCCAGTGCAGAGACAGCCCAGTCCAAGACCCCCAGCTGCAGACCAAGCCGTCTCCTCGACCACGGGCCCCACGCCGTCGCCGGCAAAGAACAAGAGCTTCGCGTGTGGCGATTGCGGTAAAGTATTCAATGCGCATTACAATCTGACGAGACACATGCCCGTGCACACCGGGGCCAGGCCGTTTGTGTGCAAAATATGCGGAAAAGGGTTCCGTCAAGCTTCGACGCTGTGCCGGCATAAGATAATACACACTTCGGAGAAACCTCACAAATGCCTGACGTGCGGTAAGGCCTTTAATCGCTCATCGACGTTGAATACTCACGCGAGAATACACGCCGGATATAAGCCATTCGTCTGCGAATTCTGCGGCAAGGGATTCCACCAGAAGGGCAACTATAAGAACCACCGTTTGACTCACAGCGGCGAGAAGGCGTACAAATGCAGCATTTGCAACAAAGCTTTCCACCAAATATACAATCTGACGTTTCATATGCACACGCACAACGAACGGAAGCCGTTCACTTGCAGCATCTGCGCTAAGGGCTTCTGCAGGAACTTCGATCTGAAGAAGCACACAAGGAAACTGCATATGGGCGGTTCGAATAATGGAGACTCTTCGCTGGACGCGCAGGACGACTCGACACAGGAGACCACTGCTAGCCCCGGCGAGGAACCGAACAGGATCGCCTTCAGACCGTTCTTAGGCTCTTCGTATTCACGGATCTTGGACCCTGCTCGTATAACGGCGCCCAATGCGTTTTTTTCGAAGCTCTTGTGACCGCCGGCTTCGTACTTCGGGAGTTTCAATGAAAATAACAATTGAATTGATCATGGATTTGATTTAGTTTCGGAAACTGCTGTAATTATCGCTGTGAATATTTGTAATGCTTATATTTAAAAAAAAATGAATTCTATTTTATAATTTTATTCAAATTAGACATATCTACCAATCAAATTAAACGTATTTGATATCTTCATATTTGTAAATATAATAAAGTCATCATTCCGTATGTAAAAATATTGTGTAGATTTTCGTTTTTATTGTAATTATAGTTTAATAGCATCTAACTACTCGCAGATGGCGACGAAACTTACTATAGTGAGTCAAGATAGTCAAGTATGTAATTGTTTTCTATAGGAAAATCTGCTATCTTATTTATGTACATAATATATTGACATTGATAAAATGCTTCCCGCTTTTTCTGAATTATTCCGAAATAAATCTGAAATGTGGCTTTGAAGGTTTTTTTTTTCAATAGCACAATACTTACATTTTAAAATTTCACGGTTATTCTACATTATACATTTATTTAACGGATTCCTACCAACTATTCACATTTCATGAGTAGCCGATATATCGGCGATAAGGTTTAAGAGCCCGTTAAATAATAGTGTGTGTAATAAAATACTTGTAACAAAATACGTAATGTTAATACTACATCAAATACTACCTAATATTGTGTAAAAATATTTGTTGGTCAAAAAACGCGTAATTATAAGATGCTCTCTGTAAGTTATTTCTAACGTTCTGATTAATATAGTTAGTTAATTGTAAATAAAATGATACAATGTATATTATGTGAAAATGCAATATCGAGTGTAATTTAAGAATAAAATATACGTAACTATTCAATCAAAATCATAGCTTTTATTACTTAAAAATTAAAAAAAGGCGACTGTAACAATAAAAAACACATCAAGCAAATCCTTTTAATTTCCTTAATCCTGAATATAACAATATTAATACTCCATGAAACGACAAAGCGACACTAAAAAGAGACTCACGTACCTACATTCATAGGATTTAGTCTGTGAAGGAATGAGATAGAACGTGATCATCAAAGCCAACAGATACTATAACGTCAAAAGCGGCGACCATTTTGAGACGTGAGGTTATATTATTGAGTATTGTTTGTATAGCAATCCGTCCTTTACACAACTTTTAATTGAGTCTGACGGAGGGAAACAATAAAGGGAAGATCTTACACCGAACGGGCAATATAACTAACGGCTCGGTAGATCGGATCTAAATATTGCTCTACAAAAATTTGATTATGGAAACTTATTAGACGTACAAAAATATACTAGTCATCATATGATATTGTAACAAGTATTCACAGTTACATACCTATTTCTAGAAACTAGTCGTAATTGTTTATCGAATCTTTCACATTAAATCGGTTGTCAATAAGCTCTCAACGTCATTCCATAAAATAATTCACATTGATTTGTCGGCAACGAAATCCATTATTTATTAGAACCGTCATTTGCCGGAGTACTTTCATGTTGGGCTTTGTGAACGTTAACATTCTAAATTATAACCTTGACCCGTCAGAGATTCCAGAGATTGTCAACCTTCAATTAGTTTTTTTTTACTATTTTATTTATTAAATTAAAAATTTTATTTGAATGACATCTTAGTTCGATAACTTAGATACAGGTGATTATTAGAGAACAAGTGAATATTTTCGTTCTATTAAAATATGACACTAAATGGTACTTACATAAGGACAAAATTTGAACATTACCTACTTACGTTGACGTTTACACAAGCACATTTTAACATTAAGGCTAATTCATTTACGTAGTTTCTGCAATAATATACTCGTATATGGACGAATGAATAAAAAGATTTAAAAAAAAACAAATGATGTAGGTACCATTTCTATATTACAAATAAATAATTATTTAAAAAAAAATGTTGACATCCACCGATTTACAGTACAGTAAAGTCAAAGCGTGTAACCCGAGAATTCAACAATAGTAATTATAGTTCGTTATTGAGAAGAAAATAATAGTTTTTATAAAAATAATATCGCACTGCGCTTTTATGCGTTTGCGCATTGTAGTGAGCCGGAAGTGACGTGGCGGCTGCGCGCGCAACGGTCGCGCGTCAAGTGACGCCATATTGTTTCTCGACAATAATGGCGACCAGATTGAAAGATTTTTAAATTAATTTAGCGTGGTTTTGTTTGATTTAAACAAAAGAACAGTTATGAAAACAGAAGATTTGTATTTGTTTGTGGTGAGTAGTTTTGGTGATTCTTAGGCATCTACGCAGGATAATATTCAAATTGAAATACCTATAAAATAAACATTCCTCTGTATGAATTACTGCTTCACGGCAGAAATAGGCGGGCTGGTGGTAGCTACCCACCCGTGCGGACTCACAAGAGGTCCTACCACCAGTAATATAGGTTAAATGTCATTCCGGTAATATTTTAAATACCCTAATTGGTACATACTTAAAAAGGCTGTAGAAGAAAAAACTAAAGCCTTTAAAATCACTTTGCATATTCCAATCCGCCTAAGTAATCACAGTCGAATGTCCCATCCCTATTTCATCTTGTCAGTGCGAATCGCCCAATCATTGGAAGCATCAAGGGCGTGGCTTGTCTCTATAAGCACAAGTCCATTTCGGAGGCACCAGAGCTGTCAACTTTGAAAATCGAATGTCATTTGGAAATATGAAATGAGTGTTGGGTTCTGTATAGTGTTTTTTTATAAACGAAATGCTCGTTAAAGTGCCGATCAATATATTTTATTAGTTTTTTTTCTGATATACTTATGCATACTACTTAGTCTGGCCATAAATACTGTTACAATTAAAAATAAACAAAATATTACATTTGAATTTGGAATCTGTCATTTTTATATGATTGCTCATTGAGTTCTGATTTTGGATATTATTTTTTCCTTTGTCTCAGTATTTATGGCAAGATTAGGTATAGGACCTTTAATAAGTTCTCGCTATTTCTTCGAAAATGGCATTTGCAGTACCCTGTTTTTGAAATTTAGAATGGTAATACACATGCAAGGCAGTATAGTTTATATAATCTTAAATACCAGCGTATGGTGGGTTCACTTTCGGGTAAACAAATTATTATTTTCATAGTTCTGAAAATGTCTACTTTTGTGCCAAATAAAACATATGTATTTGCGGGGAATTTTATTGCACTACTTTATTCAAAATAAATCCGCAGCTGAAGCACAAATAATTCTTGTTGAGACTGACGGTGACAATGTTTTGTCGGAAACGACATGCAGATACAGGTTTTGATGCTTCAAAAATAATGATTTTGAACTTGAGGATAAATAATGTTCTGTCGTACCGAATAAATTCGAAAAGGAATTACTTGACCAAGACCGATGTCAGACGTTAGTAGAAGAACATTACAAGTAGTTGAGTCAACGGTTTCAAAACGTTTAAAAGTTTTAGGAATGATCCAGAAGAAAGGACAACGAGAAGTAATTCAAGATCCAATACTTCTACTACTAATTCAAAGTCCAATAAACTCTTTTTTTTATTGCTTAGATGGGTGGAATAGCTCACTACTGGAGCCCATAAACATCCGCAACGTAAAGGCGCCACCTACGAAATATAAGTTCTAAGGTCTCAAGTATAGTTACAACGGCTGCCCCACCCTTCAAACCGAAACGCATTACTGCTTCACGGCAGAAATAGGCAGGGCGGTGGTGCCTACCCACGCGAACTCACAAGAGTTCCTACCACCAGTAATTACGCAAATTATAATTTTGCGGGTTTCATTTTCATTACACGATGCTATTCCTTCACCGTGGAAATTAATCGCGAACATTTGTTGAGTACGTATTTCAATAGAAAAATTGGTACCCGCCTGAGATTCTAACATCGGTGCATCGCTCAACACAAATACATCGGACGTCTTATCCGTTAGGCCAGGACGACTTCAGAAAGCTTCAGATAATCTCATCTTAAGGCGACCTCATGTGTCAAAATGTAGGGCCTAATTTACATTGAGCTACTGTTGGCTGTGTTACGTCAGATTGGTGTAAAAAATTTCAAAAACCCTTTTCTAGAAAAGTCTATGGCAATTAATTGTTAAGCCGCGAAAATGTCGCATTCGTATGTTCTGGCTGGAAATGTGGCTGCTACAATATTTAATATTGAATTTAGGCTACCTTAAACATACTAAAGTAACAAAGTAAGAATTTAACAGCTCAAACACATACCTAATTGCATTTTTTTTGTAAACGTTCTAAACGCAAAATCAATTCAGTTGTATAAGGGATTTACCTATATAGATAAAAGGTGCGGGGGAAAACGTTGATAAAATATAAATAAATCCAATGTCCCATACAAAACTATTGGCCCGACCAGCCCTAATAAGCTTAGACACTTACGCACACAAACAAACAGCCATAGTAACAACTAAAGCGAGCTAGAAATAATCCCATTGTGAGTCCTTTTCACGTAAATACGAGAATTTTGCGCAATTCCATAGAATAGGCAACACATGCCCTGCTCCCACGGTCCTAAGCCTGTATAGAATATTGTTCGAATATTTTCTACATTTTATGTTTCTTATTCGTTGTTATTTAGACGATAAATGTACTAATATACACAGCCCACTGAGTTTCTCGCCGGATCTTTTCAGTGGGCCGCGTTTCCGATCCGGTGGTAGATTCTGCGAAGCACGGCTCTTGCTAGGGTTCGTGTTAGCAACGTCGTCAAGTTTGAGCCCCGTGAGCTTATCTACAAGCTCGGCGAATCTAGAGTAACCCCTCGAGGTTACTAGAATAGGTAAAAAAAATATGGAACAGCAATATAAAAATAGTGATAAAAAGCGATACAAAAATAAGACCGTATCATCAAGTAGGTATATTCTCGGTAAATTAAATCCAAAACAAACTGTTTGATACGCTTTGTTATAAACAATTAACCCGTAAACAGCTACAACGTTTAATAAATATGAAACATGTATAACACATCAATAAAAATGACTGCACTCATTGAGC